GGGGGGGGGGGGGGGGGGGGGCAGGGAGGCAACACCAGCAGCTTCTCTGTCCCGCAGGTATAGACAGGTAGAGGGCTGCCCTGAGCTGCTGTTCCCACCCCAGCCAGAGCCGCCTTCTGCCTGGGCCTTGAGGCCTCCCTTCCCAGGAACTGGGAATGTCCTTGCAGGGCAGACAGAGGCAGCGTCTAAAAGCGACAGCTTTCCTCTGAGCCTGGGGAATGGTGTAAAGGAATGAACTTCCTGTCACAGGAGAGCCCAAGCAGGGGCCAGAACAGCTTATTTAGCACCAGGGAAGCTCTGGTCTCTGCCTAAATCCGACCCAACCTTTGTGCTGAAGCGAAACTGTCTCTCCTATCCTTAGGGTTCCCGTTCCACCAGCGCAGGGGCGGTCCAGTCACCCTTCCCCAAAGCTGGGTGCCTGATGTCCCAGCGTGGGTCTCGGCGACTACTTCAGATCAGTTTATGGCAGGATTCGGTTCCTGTTCACCCCTTACACGGCTCTGTCCCAGCACCTAGAATAAGCCTGGCCCTGCAACAGATCCCCATGAGCACCTTCCGAAATAGGGGACCCCCGGGCTCCAGCCTTGGACCTTGGTGGCCTCTGGAGTCACATGAGCCAGGGAGTGAATCCCAGCCCTGCCTCTTACCAGCAGTGTAGCCCTGAAGAAGTCACTTCCCCTCTGTTTCCCTGTCCATAAAATGGGCATATGAGTGGTGCCCACTTCTGAGGTTTACTGTAAAGATCCAATGAGTTATTATGACCGTAGCCGCTTAATAAATGCTTGCCGTTAAAAACATTATATTTATTCTTGGTATGTGATTTTGATCCTGAGCCAAGTTCTTACAATTTTCTTTTTTAGCAGTTGAAGGACCCCAACCAGGCAGGAGCTCTTGAGGATAGAAGTGGGTCCAACCTGACATGATATCCTCTACATCTTTATCTCCCAGACCCTCGTGTGCCCCCTCCAGCCACCCTCTTCTTCCTTCTCCCCAGTCCCCCAGCCATAGCTAGTTGGGCCAGCCTCCAGACCTTATCCTCCTTGCAAACTCCTATTCATCCCTCAAAGCCCCACCTCCAATGCCCTCTCTTCCAAGAAGCCCTCCTTCCTCTTCCTCTAGACCCTCCCCAGTCCTCTTTTCTCCTTCTGGCCCAGCTCTGACCCCATGGGGCTGGGAGTTTCTGTGTCCAGCTCTGACTGCTCCCCCCACAAGCCTGAGAGTACCTCAAAGGGCTGAAACTAGGGATGAGGCTTCCCTAAGGTTTGTTGTCTCCCAGCACAGCGTGGGCACACAGGGAGCAGGCGAAGGGAAGTTTGACGACACCACAATATTGGTGATTTTGCATCACTGAAAGGAGACCCTGCCTTAAATTCAGAACTTGACTTATGCCCAAGGCCAGAGTTATTTCATTCAACAAACAGTCCCCAGGAAGCAAGGGAGCGAGGCTCCCTCTGGCCGAAGAAAGAAGGGGTTAGAGGGAGGCCTCCAGCACTGGGTCGTGAACTTGAGGGACCAGGACCAGGGTAGGTTGGGGGTGAAAGGAGGCAGCACTCGAGACCCCCCTGAGCACTAAACCTGGACTGGAGGTTCAGTTCCCGCAGATCTAATTACCCTAATTTGCCACATGCACTAATTACCTCCTGGGTGCCAGGTGGCGGGGCGGGGCTGCCCCATTTTCTGGAGGTAGGTCGGGGCCCGATTATTTTTGGCTGCGTCGTCCTTGAAGGCTCCGACATCCGCCTGCATGAAGGGCAGAAAGTGGGGCGGAGAAATTGCAGCCATGTCAGGAAGGATGCTGGGGGGTGTGGGGGGTCAGGTGGCCTTGGAGCTCCCTGAGCAGGAGGCTTGGGATCAAGGCCTGAGGGTCTCTGCCACCCAGCCAGAGACAGCAGGATCTGGAGGGGCTAAGAATCTGCCAGCTCCGCAGTGGACTGGTTTTTAATGTGACATCGTTGCTGGAAGAGGGGGGTTATGTGTGTGTGGAGGGGGTATCAGACCAGCCTGGGTTCGAATCCTGAAACCCACCAGCTTGCCGTGTCTCCCTGGGCATGTGACCTTTCATGAACTCCTTGCACTTTTCCTGAGGGATGGAATGGACATGATAATTCTTGAAGGGTATCTGGGCAGAGGGCACAGCACGTGCAAAGGCCCTGAGGTAGGGATCAGCTGGGTATGTTGGATGAACAGTGGGGAGGCTGGCAGGGGGGCCAGAGTAGGGTGAGTGGGAAGAAAGTGTGGGTGATACTGAGACCTGGGGTGGGGTGTCACAGGAGCTGAGCAGAGCAGAGCCTCCTGGGCCCTGGTGAGCTGTGTGGGTTTTGTTCTGAGGGTGCTAGGGAGCCATGGGAGAGTTTGGAGCCAGGGAGAGAGAGAGACAGCGATCAGATTTACACTGTAGGCCTCGGGCAGGGTTTCAGCTCCTAGGAGA